AGGATCAGAACCAGGAGGAGGAAGGTTCTGGGTTTATAGGATCTTTTCATGGAAACACATGAAATGTGGTGGATGTTTAAGTGATCCGTGAAAAGAGATTTTGATAAACTGTCAGGATTTAGGCTCAGATTTGGTCCGTTTTTCTGAAACACTCAGACGATGCGTTCAAAGACGGACGGAAAGTTAAAAAGATGATGTCTTTTAAATCCATCTGTGAGTGTTGTGGTTCAGAACGCTGTAACATTCAGCATTTATAGAGAAAATGTCTACTTACAAGATCTCATCGTTCTCAAACTCCAGGACTCCATGCGTGTCCTCAAAGTCCTCGCCACCTCCTTTTGCCGTCCCCTCCGTGGTCTTATATGGCACCACCACGACGCCACGAGCTCCCGAGGTCCGCACCACCTTCACCTCCATCACCCCGACGCTCTCGCTCACCGTCACCACCGGCTCCTCGAACGTGAAGATGCCGGCGTGGTCATCATCGAAGATGGTGACGACAGCTGTGCACGGCAAACCCAGACCTGCGAGGGCGTCCACGTGGTTGGCCTGGTGATTCTCTGACATGACCTTTACGTTGCTGAGGTGAACCAGGAAGTGCTCGTCTTCCTCAAAGATGTCATCATCGATGATGTCGATGCAGATCTCTTTCTCGGTCTCGCCGGGTTGGAACACCACCGTGCCCTCAGCGAACTGGTAGTCTGAGCCGGCGTTGGCGGTGCCGTCTTCAGTCCGGTAATCCACCGTGACGGTGCTGGTTAGGTCTCCGCCGCGACGCACCACGTTCAGCAGAACGCTGCCGCAGTTCTCCAGACACTGGTAGGTACCGGGGTCGAAGAACACCTTGGAGGAGAAGTCATTGGCCGACACCTCGGAGCTCAGGTCGAGCTGTGTGGCTCTCTTGGCCTGGTCGGCGGCGTGCTTCTTCAGGATGTTTCCAGCTCCAGTCATAATCCTGGTCGCCTGGCAGCGGTAGAAAGCCCGACTCTTCTGCTGCTGAGTTAAAACCTGGTAGTTGGCGAGCTCCATCAGCTGCTCCATATCCTTCTCTGGATGCTTCTGCTTCAGCTCCTTCAGGATTCGGGCAACCTCTCTGCGGGCCTCCTCCTCGTCCAGCTCCTTCTCCTCAAACCCCGCCTCCCCGTCCAGGAATTCCTCGCCGTGGGAGTTGAGCATTTTACCGTCCATTTCGATGTCGACCTTGGAGGGCAGCTCCGGCTCCCCCTCGGTTTCGATGATCATTCCCTTCTGCTTCCCCGCTCTGTATCGCTTGTACATGTATTTGTAGAACAGCAGCCTGCGGTCGGCCACATAAGCGAATCCGACACAAAGAGGGAAGAAGAAGAGCGTAAGAAGCCCCTCCCATATCTGGACGACACCTGGAGAGAAGACGGCGAGGATCAGGTAGAGCCAGGTGTAGGCGAAGACGCTCCAAGTGGCGGTGACGAAGAACACCCGCAGGTGCTTCACCTTCCGGGTTTCTCCTTCAGGGATGACGGACACACAGAGGCCGATGATGACAAACATGTTGAAGGCGGCGCTTCCTACGATGGTGTTGGGACCCAGCTCGCCAGCGGTAAAGTTGTGACCGCAGACTTCCACCACCGACAGGAGGATTTCTGGGGCGGATGAACCGAGCGCCATCAGGGTCAAATTGGACACTGTCTCGTTCCAGACGCGCACCGTCGTGGTGACCTTCTCCCCGTTCGGTTTCTTGATGGTGATCTGCCTCTCCTGCGAGGTGATGACCTCGATGGACGCCATGAAGCGGTCGGCGATGATGGAGACGCCCAGGAACATGTATGCCAATCCTACGAAGTAGATGGTGGCTCTGGCGAGGCGGTCGGTAAAGGCCGGGTTGTCGGGTTTCCACACTGGCAGGATGACGCCCTCGATGCATTTGGTGCTGCCGCCACACTTGGTGCGGTTGGTCAGCGAGGAGTTGGTGCTTCCTGCTGCTGATGGCGGAAGCTCCAAAGCGATGGCCGTCAGCAGGAGAAGCAGCTGATAAGCAGAGAACAGCGACGAGGTTCTGGCTCGGATCATGGTGACGCCTCAGAACCTGCAACACACAGAGCCAAACATGAGAAGAGACCATTCAAGCATTTTGTCTCTTTAAAGCAGAACATGAAATCCTTCCATTAATAATTGCTCGTTAGAACATTTTTCTCTAGTTCTGTGTTCTGAAGACGTTCTGGTGATCAGCTGTTGGAGCCGCTGGCATCAGTCTCTGGAGTTCCTCTCATCAACAGAGAAGTTCTACATGAGCAGCTTCCAGGATTAATCCATTGGTTCTGGAGGAACAGACTCCCTGGGAACACCCCCACGTTCCCACAGCGTTACTGTCCAACCTGACGATGGTGGCTCTGAGAACGTTTACTGAACGTTTTCTGACTGACACGCGTCAAACTGGTAGAACTGCAGCAGAGACTCACAACGAACACAAAGTGGTTCGGGTTAGGGGAGAACCTTTACTGATACGTCTGTCCAAAACCAGTCCAAAACCACAGCCAGTCGGCCCAATACGAGTCTAAAACAAAGTCTGAATCCAGACTGTCTGAAACCGGTCCAGAACCAGTGGAAAACTAAATGTGAAACCAGTATAACCAGTATAAAACCAGAATAAAGCCAGCCTGACTCCAGTGTGAACCGCAGACACCGACAGCAGCTGTGAAATGACGACTGTGAGAACAGAACTCTGTGCTGGTTCTGGAGTCGGTTCTGTTCCTTTCTGCCGCTCAGAGATCAACAGAGTTTCCCTCCACAGTCACAGTGTTCTGGTTCTGCTCAGAGGTTCTGCTCAGCTCCTACTCCGTGGTGTCTAACGTCTGCTCCAGTAAAAGCTCACATTTGAAAACATTCCCATCTTGTGTTGACCTAAAACAACTTTTCCTCACGGCGCCGACCCGCTGTGTGGCACCGGACCTACCGTGAGTCCAGGAGCAAAACCGCCGACAGGATTCAAAGTCTCACAAACACGACCGGAGCTTTCATGTCGCAGCAGAAACAGAAGCAGCAGAGATGAGAGGAAGCCTCCAGATGGACGGAGAGGGAGGGAGGGAGGGAGAGAGAGAGAGAGGGAGGGAG